GTCCCTGCTCTGTGCATGACGGGGGGTGGTGCTACAACCTCCCCATAGACCCTGCCTTGAGTGTGACAGGGGGCGGTGCCCTAATACCCCCCTCAGTCCTACCCTGAGCGTGACTGAGGGTGGCATCGCAACCTCCCGATCCGCCCTGCTCTGTGCATGACAGGGGGCAGCGCCCCAACTCCCCAATCAGCCCTGCTCTGAGCCCAACCAGGGGCTGCACCTAGGGATTGGGCCTGCCCTCTGCCACCTGGGATCAGGCCTAAGCTAGCAGGTCATTATCTCCCAAGGGGTCCCAGACTGTGAGAGGGCATAGGCCGGGTTGAGGGGACCCGCCCCCCCTGAGTGCACAAATTTTTGTGCACCGGGCCTCTAGTCTATATATAAAAGCCTAATATGCTAATTGTCCATTTGACCAGTTGCTATGACACGCACTGACCACCAGGGGGCAGATGCTCCAACCAGTAGGTTAGTTTGCTGCCGGGATCCAGCTGATGGGGACAGGTGAGATGGGCCAGATACACCCTGGGTAAATCCATGCACCAGACCTGTTTTGCCCAATCTCTGCAGACCAGGCTGAGGCACCCCATGGGTGCACAGCCGGGCCTCTAGTGTTATTATAAGATTGCTCAGGCAGTGATGTTTTAGAAAGGCCGAATGAAAGATTCTGAAAGTCGGCAGGCTATTGAGAACTCGTGTTTGAGGCCCCACAGGTCAGGAGATGAAACCAGTCCCCACTTTTGAGGAGCTCACAACATACTGGGAGAGAGAAAAACCTAAGGGAGTAGCTTTGATGACACAGGTATACTGTCAACACACCTGGGGTAAAGTTTGTTGGGAGGGAGGCGGCTAACGTGGTTTGAAAAGGAAGACAGAAGTCAAGGGAGGCCACACAGCCAGTCAGCCTGGCTCCGCAGGCTCCCCTGATGACGCAGCTCCAGGGGAAGGGAGAGAGCTTCAAACGGTAAGGTAATTGGTTGGAAAAGCCTATCAAGATTATGAACCAGACCTGGCCAGTTGCTCAGTGGTTAGAGTGCTGGCCCGCAGACTGAGGGGTCGGGGTTCAATTCTGGTGAAGGACACTAAACAGTCTGAAAAACAAAAGTACTTGGGTATTTGAGGAAAGAGAAACAGACACCTATTTGCCAGACCCAGGCTAGACTGTTTCACCTAATTTCAACTGTGTCTCCAGACCTAACCATGTCCAACTATGCTCAGGGGTACTTTGCTGATTACCCAGAGTGGGACAGCTCTGTGGCCGAGGAGGCGGGAGCTCGGATGAATGACGGTTTTACAGAGTGTGCAGTGTAAGTGGTGAGGTTAAAGGAGAGGAGGGCAGAAGGAAGAAGATAGAAAGGAATGCAGGAACTATCTGCAAGAATTTCTCCATAGACTTGATAAATCAGAAAATCGGGTCCATCTCTCACCCAGCTTTCTCTTCCACAAATAAAGGAATAACACTTTAAAAAGTAAAGCCACCTGATGTGGCTCAGGTGGCTGGGTGTCATTCCAATTGCCCGTCAGGGCACATGCCCAGGTTGTAGGCTTGATCCAATGTCTGGCTCTCACAAATGATGTTTCTCTCTCTCTACCTCTTCCTCTCTCTCTAAAAAAAAAAAAAAAAAAAACATATATTCTGGGATGGGGATTTCAAAAATGCCTTCCAAACTGAAGTCAAAACTCTTCCCTTAATATATTTAAAAGGATACACAGCAGATGATCACCATGCAAGAGGGAAGCTATACACCTGCTCTATAGTGTTGAATTTTGCTTCAGTAAACATTTTCATTGTTTTAACAAGTAATATTTTGTTAAATCCAGTGTGGGATCGGAGAGCAGCGTTGATAAAAAGTGGGACCTGACCCTGGCTGGGTGGCTCAACTGGTTGGAGTGTTGTCCCACATACCAAAATGGTTTCGGGTTCGATTCCCAGTCAGGGCACATACCTGGGTTGTGGGTTGGATCCCTGGTCAGGGCACATATGGGAGGCAACCAATTGATGTTTTTCTCTCTCTCAAATCAATAAACATACCCACTGGTGAGGATTTAAAAAAACCACACACACACACACAAAACACCTGGGACCTGTTTTTGGTGGCACCTGTATGTGTTGGATACTTCTGTGGGATGGCATCCTTCCCTCCACCCAGCTGCTGGTACCAGGGACCTGAAGGTCTAGAGCAAGGGTTTTCAACTGATGGACACATCAGCCATTGAGATCCTACAGCACACCTAACATGTCCTACTTTTTGCCGATCTGATAAAAAAAAGTATAATTTTGATTCATTCACACCAGACAGCTATTGTTGTGTTGGCTGTTGTCATTTTTTTATTTGACATCTAAAAGAGGTCAGTGCCCTAACTAGTCAGGTACTGCATGTGTTAACATTCTCGCGGCACCCGGTTGAAAACAGCTGGTCTAGAGCAAGGGTAGGCAAACTTCCTAGAAAGAACTAGATAGTAAAAATTTTAGGTTTCGAAGGACACATTGTTTGTTACAACCATTCTGCTGTTTTTGTACAAAAGCAGGCATAGACAATATCTGAGTGAATGGCCACGGCAGGGAGCCGTGGGGCTGAGTTCTCTCCTGACTGCAGAGTGCAATCACTTGGGGGCTCACCTGGGGGCTCCAGGCCCCACCTCCGAGATTCCAAATCTAGGATTGGGGCCCAAGCTTTCACCCCTAGCTCTTAGGTGATTGTGATGTGCATTCTGGACTGAAAACAATTGTTCTAGAAAGAGAACTGTAGTCTTAGGAAATTACTGGAA